ATCAGCTCATTCGGGTCGCCATCGATTTTATTTTTTTAAAAAGACCTAAATAACATTTTTTCCTTTCCTAAAATAGTAAACTTACTAAACTATAATGTGTTAAAGGTCAATAATGTTTTTCCTGATCCTTTCTGTTTTATCCTCTGCTCCTGATCTGCACAGGAAATGGGATGCTACGCTACTTCCAGGAGCTAACTTAGTCAGTTTTGGATTTAAACATAAATCTAGTCTTTTATGTTTTATGTTTTCCTTTCATGTTAACATTATGCTATATAGTGCATAATCTACAGAAACAACTAGAATGCAGATAAACGTGGTTTAACCAGATTTGCTGCTCTGATCGTTTCCCATGATGACATCAGAGAAGCTTTTTAACAGAGAAATTGGAAAAAGCAGCAAAATTGTCTCAGAAAAATCATGAAACATTTTTTAAAGATGTTTATTAGCATTTTTTAGAGAGTTAAAGATAGAAATAAGTCATTTTAGAGCCATAATTACATTATTTATGTCGACATGGATGTATGTCTGTTGGCGCAGCAGGGATCGCGCTTGCGGGGCGGGACGGATAGCGGCAGCCATAGTAGCTCCATCGCTCCACGTTCTCCTCGTTTCCCATTTGAACTTGAATCTGAGAAGGAAGCGGGTTGCCGGCTCCATGGTGGAGCTACGAGAGTCTGGAAACGCCTGGACCCTTCCATGATGACCTCGACTTCATAACCAGGAGGAATGTTTTATTTTTAAAATATTCATTGTTTGGCTGAAAATGAAGCTTTGACCTTTAACCTCTCCTGGTGTTTCTGACATCGTCTCCTTCTGGAAATCTCCTCTGCTACATTCCTCCATATTTATTTCTCCAAGTGTTAAAATGGGAATCTTGCTCTGAGCTCCAGCTGAAGAGCTTCTCTTCCTCCCTGCAGCAGAGCAGGGTTCCCAAAGGGGGGCTGGGGACCCGCTGAGGGCCCACAGGCAGCAGGCGGGCGGTCTGAGATGGTTTCCACAAGAATTATGACGCGAACCATGAGGTGAACGTTGACGTGCCGGTATTTAAAAACAATCCGTAACATTAGGAGATCAGCCGGTCGGTCAGAACCAGAACGGTGTTTTATCTACGACTTCATCCAAATATTCAATCTTTTTCAGTCAACTAAAAATAATGGTTTAAAATAATGAATTAAAAATAAAAATAAAATAATCATACTTCAAAATGTCCACAATTAATTCATGTGTCTAAGTAAACAGTGAAGGCCTTAGATGATGATGATGATGATGATGGAGATGATGATGATGATGGAGATGATGATGAGGAGGAGGAGGAGGATGATGATTGAGATGATGATGGAGATGAGGAGGAGGATGATGATG